AAGCAGAAGATGGCCCAAGTCCTTGGGCCCCTGCACCTGTGTTGGAGATCCAAAGGAAGCTTCTGGCTCCTGGCTTTGGATTGGTGCAGCTCTAGCCGTTGTGGCCAATTGGGGAGTGAACCATCAAATTGAAGACTTCTCTCTCTCTCTCTCACTCTCTGTCTCTCTGCCTCTCCTCTCTCTGTGTAACTCTGACTTTCAATAAATAAACAAATCTTAAAAAATTAAAATAATAAAAAACATTTTAAAAAGTAAAAAAAGATACATGATGTATAAATAATAATAAAGTGACAGGAAGGGGCATTGTGGTGTACTGGGTTAATCCATTGGAATCCCATATCCAAGTGCTGGTTTGAAGCCCATCTCCTCTGCTTCTGATTGAGCTCCCTGCTAATGCACCTGGTCAGGCAGCAAAGAATGGTAGATCCATTGCCTGGGTATCTGCACCCACTTGGGAGGCCCAGAAAGTGTACTAGGCTCCTAGCTTTAGTCTTGCCCAGCCTTAATTGCTGTGGCCATTCAAGAAATGAACCAGCAGATGGAAGATGTTTCTGTCACTCTGTGTTTGAAGTAGCTAAAATAAACTTATTTAAAAAAAAATGTGTGTATGAGAGAAAAAGAGATATTTCATCTGCTAGTTGACTCCCTAAATGCTCACAACAGCCAGATGTGAGCCAGGCCCAAGCCAGGATCCAGGAAATCCACCTGCATCTCCAACATGGATGGTAGTGGCCCAATTCCTTGGGCCATCTTCCACTGCTTTTTTTTTTGTTTTTGTTTTTTTCTGGCACAATAGCAGGAAGCCGGATTGGAAGCAGAGTAGCTAGCTCATGAAGTGGAACTCTGATATGGAATACCAGCAAAACAAGTAGCTGCTTCAACCACTGTGCCACAATGCCAGCCTTTCAAGTGATTTCACCTGAGCGCTCATTTTCTCTTTATTTCACGCAGGTCCTCCGCGTTAACACAATTCTTAAAACTTTTCTTCATACTTGAAAACTGGCTGTAGTAACTCAGGAACGTAAGACCTAAGTGATAGGAAAGGAATCTTCTTCTCAGAATGGCCAACAAATTCCTATTAAATCTACTTTGGCTCCTTTTAGGACATGCCAACTCCAGAAGAGATCACTGCAGTCCAGGGAAATGACATCTTTTTTGGGGTAAGCCTGCATTATGTGTTCCTCACCAGAGACAGAGCGTTGACTCTGTTTGAATCACAAGGGAAGGATAAGAGAGACATGGGTTTTGAAATCTCAGTGAGAAGGAAAAAAAAATGCAGCATAGTTAAAAATGAAAATTTCCACCATGGCCAATTACTGCTACTTTCATGAATTCAGAAATTCTAAAACTTGTTACCACTTACTGTGGAATTTTAAAAGAAAATACGGTAGCTACATTTAAAAAAGATGTAACAATAAGTGGCTTGGGCCCTAGTGGTAGCAAATGAATGCTCATAGCTCTTGAAAACTGAATAGTGTTTAGCTATCTCTTTGCATATGAGTGTTTTCTGCTATGAAGCTACAAATGAAGAGTATATCCATTGTCAGATTCCTTTCTGATTTTGCTTTTAAAATAATTTCGCATTTACAAAGATGGAGCTTTTAGGCTGAGATATAATTTGTTGTCTTTTGTGGCTGTCGCCTCATTTTGACCATCACTGTGGTTTTCTTTTTTTATCTCTTTCAGGAACACATTCAAAGTGAAAGTAGACATCGTGCTGTTTATTCATTGAAATGTTAAAGTACCTTATTTTTTCCTTCTACCTCAATGAAATTTGTAAGATTTATTAAAAAGAAATGACTATGGTGAGTATGGTTTGAGGTTTTTGTTCTTACTAAGACCTTCACATACTTTTTAATTAAACAATCAACAGAGTAAGAATTCTAATGGGTAATGTATATCAAAGTAGAGTTCATGAGAGGAATACATTCAAGTGTTACATAGCATAATAGGGCAACTATAGTTCAAAACAATTTATTACATATTTTATAAAGAATTCAAAAAAATGAGTTTGAATGTAACATGATTATATTCAAATTATCTCCATGCTTAGACTCCAGTAGTCATCATCAAAACTGTATCCTTTTAATCTCAAGGCTATTATTGGTTCTGTTTATGCTTGTTAAGATTATTTTTCCCTTTGATTTTGAAACTCTCTCATTGATTTGTTTGAACATGATTCGGCCCCCTCACTCATATAGATATTTAACTCCCATCTTCAGTTAATAGCTAATGGTTGATTGATTAATGGTGGGAAACCTGATCCAATTATGGTGCCTGGCAGGTGAATACAGTAGATTTTTCGGTTATTCCAGGTGTTCCCTAGAAGATTTCTGGGGAACAGATTGGTTATATAAGTCTACTTGGGCCCACCTCTCTGCTTCCTGGCTTGCCATGGGTTCCTCAATCTGCACAAGTTCCACCATGACAGCCTTCATCAGAAACTACCTTAATGGGACAACACAATCTTGGACTGTGAGCCTCCAAAACTGTGAGCAAATTAATCCTTCTTCCACTTAAGGAGATTCTCTCAGTCATTTTATGTAAAGAATATTTAACAAACTCATCCACTGTAGAGATCAAAAGCTTTGCAAAATAAAAAGTTGCTCCTGATGAGAATTTTTAAAGGCACTGCTTTTGAAATTCCTGTGAAATGTGTTCCAGTTATAGTTGAGATACAAATGTCTTGAGCGACTTCTAAATTTGAATTCCATGAAATGGACATAATCAAATTGGCACCTGTGAGTTAAAGTTCTGTTGCAAAATGTGGTTATTTGGAACCATTATAGAATTATATTTTTTGGAGGAGTGTACTAAAGATCCTCTTTGAGTAACAAGACATTTTTTGAACTCTTTTGGAAAAAGAATTTTTCCAATATCTCCTCTACTGTAAGCAGCAAGTACTAACATAATTCATTTAAGAAAAGATTATATTAAGCTCTTTGCTTGTTTTGAGTGCTGGATGTTTCACAAAATAAGTTTTATTTTAAAACTGTTTCTATATATGTTATTTATTAACAAACAACTTGTGCTTAGCATATTCACTCAACATTTTAAGTAAATTTTTAAAAAATTACTGAAAATACATAATTTTGCAGTTTCCATTTATTCTTTATATTTTAATAATGCAGATATTAAAATCTCCACTTAGGTGTTTCACTTGAGAGACAGAGAGAGAAATCTCCCATTTGTTGGTTCAGTCTCCAAACATCCACAACAGCTGAGCTGGGCCAGGCAGAAGCCAGGAGCCATAAATTCAATCCAGATCTTCCATGTAGGTGGCAGGAGCCCAATTACTCGAGTCATCACCTGTTTCCCCCCAGGGTGTGCATATCAAAAGGTTGGAATCAGGAATAGTGCCAGTATTCAAACCCAGGCAGTCTGATACGGCATGTGAATGTACAAAGCAACATCATACTTGCTATGCTGTATGTCACCTCTCCATTTTAGGCATCAGAAACCTAAGGCTCTGAAAGCTTAAGTTAATTAAGGTCATACAGAGGAGCCACTACAAGCTTAGCTGTAAAAATAAGAAAAGAACCATTGCAAGAGACTGAAAAAAAAAAATAAAAAGCAATACTCCTACTCCAGGGTTCAGTTATACTCCTAGGTGTCTTGTAGGATATGCCAAAAATGCAAGGCGTTGACCTCTCCTAAGTCAGGTCAGTTCTCAGAGCTGGGTTTATAGAAGAGCCTTAGGATGAATCTTTTCTAAAACAAAGAGCAGAGTTTATATAAAAGCCATTATCCCAGAATTTCATCGCTCTTCACTGGTATTTTCAGCCCTCTATAATTATTCCTTGCATTTAGAATAAGTTAATATAAAAATAAACCAAGAATAAGTTTCCCAACTCTTATATATAATTGGGATTCTTGGTATTCAAAAGAACAAAGTCAAGCAATTAAATTTAATCCAAATAACAGATAATATTTCTTGGTTGTCTACTATGTGCCCAGTAAGCTCTTAATGTTTTATGTTGTTCACTGCTTGCAATAATACTCTCAGGTAGGTTACATGAGGGTATTTTAAAACTTTATGGAAAAATATATTAATTTTGGTGCAAAAATTTTGAAATCACACACTACTTTTTATAATGGACATTTTCTGCTAACTCTTTGGAGACCCATCATGATATTATCTCCATTTTATAAACAAGAAAGCTGAGGCCTTAAAGGAATTAGTTTGCCTAAGGTTTCGTAGGTAGTAAATGGTGCAACCAGGGTCTGAATCCATCATCTCTGGCTCCAAAACTCAGGCGCTCAATCATGCCCCTAAGTAGTTACTACTTTTTTTTTTTTTTGTAACAAATGATAGCTTTTATGGAATCAATGTGTAGCATCAACAAATGTACAATGAAAAAGAATCTGCAAGGGAGAGAGTCGCGGAGACTTTGCTTTCCATAAACAACAAACACCTGAGCAAGATCCTGTCCCAACAACAGAGCCACACATGGTTGGGGAACTGTCATCTGCTATGCATTATGTTAGGGCTATTTGTAGGCAAGAATTTTTATGGAAATAATTTTACCTTGACATTAACGCTACAAACCCTGTTCCAAGTCTGGGTGTTTGAAACCAAAGTCAAAACAGATACCCAGACAAATGCCTTACAGATGGCCAGACAGAGAACTGATTAGGGTCACTACTCGGTTTTGATCGCAAAATGCGTGAACAGCCACTGGCAGTTCCCCTGGATCAATGTGTCAATTACAATTTCTGGACTTTCCCCTGTTTTCCTCAAACACTATCTTCCTCTTTTCTAGCAGTTTTCCCTTCGAATAACTGGGGCGCTACCAACCTGGGGACTGACAGAAAACGACGTGAGAAAGGAAGTATAGGGTTAAAGAGGAAGAAATCAAGGCACTGTTTTCTACCCCTATTCCACTGTAGGAGCTGCGTCCCTAGCAGTCAGGGTAACTAGGCAGTGATGTTGTCCCGGTAACCAGGGAAGCGCCGGCCCAGAAGGGGGAAGAGGGAAGTGTTGAAATCTCGCGAGAGTTGTGTGAAGCCATCGGGAAGCGTCTTCGAGGTTGCCCTGGAGATGGCCGGGCCCAAGGGCCCGGGAGAGGCGCCGATGGCGGCTCCAAAAGACTTGCCCACCTCCAGTCTGCGGGTCCTGGATGAGGCTCTGGGCGTGGGTTTGACGGCCGCCGAAAGCGCTTACTACCTGGAGCGTATCCTTCCGGTGTAGGCGGTGACCAAGGGCGAAGGCCAGGTCTTCCAAGTGGGGGCGCCGTTGGAGAGTGGGGCCACGGCGCTGGCGGAGTGTGGGCTACCCCGGTCCCCGGAGAGCCACGCACTGTGTGCGTCCTTTTAGGACCGTGGGAAACCCCACCAGTTAGCGGGAAGACCTTCCAGGGACCCGTTACTTAGCTAGGACTGGAGACAGTGTTCCTAGAAGGTTGCTGGTATGTTAAGGCGGCACAACAGGTTGATCAACCCTCCTTTAACTTTGTGGTTTTCCTAGATAAGCCCTTAAACTTTAGAAAGCAAAAAGAAAACCAAAAGCCGCCGCAAGAAATTCAGACAGGTAACGTTAAGCGACCGGGGGGAAGGCATCTGTCGTTGGACTAAAAGAGCTCAGAGCGTGCAGCCCAGGAGCCTGTAGACGGTATTTTTGTCCAGTGCCTACATGATTTGTGTTGGTAGCATCGCCTTCTTTGGTTCCAATTTTGGCTATATAGTAATAATAGCCAAGTAAGTAATAATAATCTTTTTTTCTTTTTCAGCAACTAAATAATGACTTGATGGGGCCTACAAGGCTCAGAGATGTTAGGGAAAAAATAGCACTTAGAAATAATGGAAAAAAATTGAATAAGCATATGTGAATAATTAGGTTCACTATTTCTTGTGTAGAGATTTAGAGCTCCACTCTTCTCCCCTTGTCTCGGACACACACACATTAGTTGTACTGGAGATACCAGTAAAGTACATGGGAAAAAAAGGCATCTATATTCAGGCAGGTGAGAGATACACACTTATCCATATTATTCCTAAAGATGTGAAGGAGACACCAGATTCTCCTCTCTGTTACCTTATTTTTTTCCAACTTCAATCATCCCCCCCTGTCCCCTTCCTTAATTTAAGATTTCAGAGACCTAGTAATGATTCATTTTGTGAGCTTTGGCAAGCCAATTAACTTGTCTGGCTCAGGCTAAATTGATGAATTTAGTTGAAAGAAATTGAAAATATGTGGAATTTTATTAGATGCAAAATTAATTTTACAGGATAAATTTGAAAGCAGTTTGAATGAAGTATATGGGTGCTTTAGTGTTATAAATAAGATTTTATAATTTGTAGCTCTAAATAGGCTATTTCCAATATTATTCCTTTTTTTTTTTTTGACAGGCAGAGTTAGACAGTGAGAGAGAGAGAGAGACAGAGAGAAAGGTCTTCCTTTTTTCATTGGTTCATCCCCCAAGTGGCCGCTACGACCAGCGAGCTGCGCGATCCGAAGCCAGGAGCCAGGTGCCTCCTCCTGGTTTCCCATGCGGGTGCAGGGCCCAAGGACCTGGGCCATCCTCCACTGCCTTCCCAGGCCACAGCAGAGAGCTGGACTGGAAGAGGAGCAACCCGGATAGAATCCGGCGCCCCAACTGGGACTAGAACCTGGGGTGCTGGCACCGCAGGTGGAGGATTAGCCTAGTGAGCCGCGGCGCTGGCCAATATTATTCCTTTTTCAACTCAGAAATGTTTAAACAGTTCTGAGCTTATCTACATTGGGCATGTTATCCAGTGTCCTTGCTAGTGAATGGTAACCAGCTATCTTGTTATTTTTGGTTGCATTAAAATGCTTTCTATAAACATGTAGTTTGTTAACATATGACTAATATAGTGAAGTAACTTTTTGCAAACATATTTATGAAATACAGATCCTGCAGCAAGATTACTGAGTTACCACTGCCAATGTGTAGCAGTTTGCACATGACTTATAAAAGACTTCTTCAAATAATCACATGTATAAATATAAACAACCCTAACTTTACAGGATTTCGTTATCCAGTTTGTAAATTATTTCAGCCCCTTTGCTTTTCCTCTGCCTCTGTCTCTGTTTTGTGTTACAACCAGGGGGTAGTGAGGGCATTGAGAAATTAAACATTTAACCAGTCAGTTGTGCTATATTCAATGCTTAGGGAGAGGCTTTAACTCTCAGTGAAAATGAAGTTTGGGGATTACTTGTGAATGGCAGTTATCCTGGTATCTCTGGACTCTCTTCACATGCGTAATTAAGAATTGACTCTTATAATATTATTTGAGGTTGTTTCATAATGCAATTATAATAGTTGCTGAAGTGGCCCTTTCTCATGTTTACAGTCTCTTTAGTTCTCAGGTAATTTAATTGAGCTAATGCTGTGGATAAATACGTTATGATATGGACAAATGAATCAGAAATATGATGTCCTCTACTTTGGACATATCGTATCTTTATTTTTTATTTTCTCGACAGGTAGAGTTAGACAGTGAGAGAGACAGAGAGAAAGGTCTTCCTTTTTCCATTGGTTTACACCCCAATGGCCATTGCAGCTTGTGTGCTGCGGCCGGCGCACTGCGCTGATCCGAAGCCAGGAGCCAGGTGCTTCTCCTGGTCTCCCATGCAGGTGCAGGGCCCAAGCACTTGGGCCATCCTCACTGCACTCCCGGGCCACAGCAGAGAGCTGGACAGAAAGAGGAGCGAGTGGGACAGAATCTGGCGCCCCAACAGGGACTAGATCCTGGTATGCCGGCACTGCAGGTGGAGGGTTAGCCTAGTGAGCCGTGGCACCAGCCAAGGACATATGCTTATTCACATCTAATCAGCTGCATTTGACCCCAGATTTCCCTGATTTATGACTGAACAAATATTCCAAGTTCAGTAAACAATGAACTAGAAATATTAAGCAGTGCTTTGAAAAAAAGAGATTGACTTGACTTCTGCAGGAAATCATCCTCTTTTCTCCTCTTAAACATTCAAACATAAGCAACATGAGTAGACTAATGTGGCCCAAACGAGAAACATAGTTAGGGCCCAGCATTGGGGGGATCATTAATAAAAACCCCACTGTTTTTATAATGGCTCAGAGAATGTACTCGTAACAATTAATTCATGCCCTGCCACACCCTTCCCCTGTAATTCTCCTAGCTGTAGCAGTGTCACCTATTTCTCCTCCGAGGAACTTCCTAATATAATTGCATTCATGTTTTAAGCTGCTACAAGGTGAGATACATGCATACATAGTTCTTAGTTAGCTATCATCACAGCTATAAAAAATCTGGAGTACAATAATGTTCTGTAGAAAGCTCTTAGACAAATATCTTCAACATTATTATATACAGTGCTACACTTTGCAAAAAAAAGTATTAGAGAAGGAGAACACTTGCATCTGTTGATTCACTCCCCAAATGCTCACGACACCAGGATCCAGGAACACAGTCCATGTCTCCCATATGGGTAACGGGAACCCAGTTACTTGAACCATTTCTCCTGCTTCCCATGGTTTGTATTAGGAGGAAGCTGAATTAAGAACCAAGGCAGGTGTCAAGCCTGTGTCCTCTGATATGGGACTCAGGCATCCTAACTGGTATCTTAACTGCCAGATTAAAAACCCATCCCATGACTAAATTTTGAACTATGTGAAATGTACAGGGCCAAGTAGGTATATCCAGATCTTAAATAGAAGCTTGGCTACTTTTTTTGAGTAAGTCCTCAATTAGAAATCAACACAACTTGGATGAAGTTATCAGTTGGGTTGTTACTGGGTGCTGCCTGTGAACATAATGTGTGGCTGCGGGCATATAGGAGTTATCCAGTTCCAACTGGCAGATGTAGGTTAGAATGGATCTGTACTAAGAAAGCTAAAGGTTAATTCATTTTCTTGTTACCTACCCAGAGAAAGAACATAGTTCAAGGAAGAGTAATCAAACACAGAGACTCTAGCACAGTGGAGCCTTCACAAAGTATTGTTTTGGTTACCTGACTCCTTTTAACTTAACTCTTTGCTTCTCTAATTGGCTTTTGACGATTTTATTTTCCTATATGTTCTAATGCTAAAAAGTTGGCTTCTTATATAGTGACAATATATTTCCTGGTAACATAAAAGGTCTCCCTTGCCTGTCCCCAGGAGCAATGTCCCAAGGTTTGAGTGCATTAAGCCTTTCCTTGGAGGCTAATCACTCTGGATGCAGTCTCAAAGTAAGCTGTTTGTGAAACTACAAAATGATTGACTCCAGACACTGATATATCAGAATTGCCCTAGATTGATGTTCTATCTAAGATATATGCTCTTCTTGTTAATGAAGTCTAACTAATGTGTCGCTGAAATAATAATGTTCATGGATGAATATAGTTAAAACTGAACTTTTGTCTGTTTTCTATTTTTGTCACTTTCTATTTTAAATTTAGATTTTTTTCCCTGTAAAAATAAGCATTGTTGTAGTTGAGTAAATGAAAAGAGTTAAAAAGAATTGTGCAGGTTTCTTTTTATGTTTTAAAAACTGGGCAAAATACATGTGTACAATTGTACTGGTCACATATGGTAATTGATGTTTCCTCTCTTTGTCATTACTTTATGATTGGAGTTTTGAAGCTCCTTTCTTTTTTTGGCTCAGAAAATATTTACTGAGTTATTGTGAACCGTAGTAACCCCACTGTGCTGTGTAACATTAGGAACTTATTCCACATATTTATGTCTGACTTGGTACACATCCGATTTCTCTAAACTACTTTTTATTCTGTTATAAAGTAGTCTACTTCTTTGGGATATTTATACTATTAAGTGAGAAGAAATTTGTAAAATCCTTCTTGTTCATATGTACTCAAACAGTTTATTTCTTACTATCATTTATTAATTTGTCCATGGGAGCTTAGATATTAGAATATATGTACCATTTGTATATTCAAAAAGAAGATAGACAACTTAATTGTAGAATCTAGACCAATAGCCATGTTACTAAAGGCAATGAATTTTGAATATGTGAATATAATAGGCTATTGGGAGAGAAAAAAATTGTGTTCTGCAATCTTTAGTCCAGGCCAGCTTTTATGTGGATATGATTCACTTGTAGATTTTTACATGAAAATTCTAATTCAGTAAATCTGGGTGGGGACAGAGAGTCTGCATGGCTAAGAAGCTCCCAGTTCATGCTAGTGTGTCACCCATTAAACCAGTATCTTTGGATACCCTGGCTTAGAATTTGG